ATTAATAAATTCTTTGAATATATATACAATACTATGCAAAAGTCAGAGGCCACCCTTCATTTATTTCATTTCTAGTTCGCTGTTAAATACAAGTTGTTCATTTTTCAGGAGATATTTCTGAGGAGATTAGATAAGATAATCTACTTGTCTAGGGGAAGGGAAAGTCAAAGTAAGGCTGAACGATTTGGATAAAATATCTAATTGCGATTTTTCTGACTAATATTTCAACTGTGATTTAAATTGAGATTGTATTCTATAAATTAAGGTTCAGGCCCTTTTGTTTTGACAATACCAGAATATTGACCTTTACTAGCTTAAAGCTTGACCCCTTAATGTAGTTTGCCAGACTGCCAGTAAGTTGTGCTTGTGATATCACAAAACATGGAGGTTTGGTTCCCTCTGATTGGTCTGCCTTATGTCGACAGTTCTCAAATTCTACGTTATTCGGTTACATTTTCCCTCTTAAAACTAAGGACAGCGTTTTTGATGACAGAGGCAATAAATCTTGCAATTTGCACTTTCTTAGTTTGCGATTTCAATATAAAAACGACTAATCTAAGTCAAAGGGAAACAAAAAAATATATTTTTTAAAGATACAGTGAAAACAGGGATTTTAACAACCATGCAGGATGTGGTAGATCACCACAAATGTCCCCATCAGATAAACAGCACAAGCTTTTATCTTTAAAAGAGAGGAGGAAATCAAGCTGCTTCAGATCTGAAAACATCCACAGGTCTTTCTGTCCATCCTTCCACTGTGAGAAGACGACTCAGGGCTCTGAGTCTGAACGGATGTGTAGCTGTCAAGAAGCTTCACTGAGAAAAGGAAACTACAAATCAAACCAAGAAATAATGGACTGATCATGAGAAGCAGAAAGTGCAGCCAATTTCTAAGGTGTGAAAAATATCCCTGCAGATTTCTTTGAGAAACTGAAAGCAAGTCTCCCGAAAAGAATGGAAGCTGTAATAAAGATAAAGAATGGACACACTAAATACTGAAAAAAGTGATATTTTATTTAGTTGTTGAGGCTTCTGTGTAATTTCCTATTAAATATGTTGCCTTTTTCCTGTCGCTGAAAAATAAATCAAACTTATTGACTGTTTTGACTGGAAACAAAATCAGTGAAAGGTTATAAATAACATCCATTCTTGAAGAAACATGAAATACAGGAGAATGTTAGGGCTGTTACCATTACTCAAGTTGACTCCCTTAAACTTCCAGCCATATTATATTCAAGAACTGTTAGTCAGTAATGACATGGACATGGATGAGTTTTTCTGAAGTTATTTTTAAAGGTATTCTTAGAAAATGTGCTAAAACTGGATGTTCAGCTAGATTACTTGATTTAAAAAAAAAAGAATCATCAATTAAAATGTACTTTACTGATAAATCAGAATGGTTAGTCTTTTTAAATGCTTGTTTGCTAAACTTTTTCCAGTATTTTGGAATCTTGGAAAAGATATGAACTTGTTTGTTTTTGTTCAGTTACATCCATTTTTATTGTTGGCCTTAAAAAAACTGATTCCTTGCTTAATTGAATAATCAGTATATCATTTATCATGACAGTAGATCATCTGTCATGTCGAGTAACAGGAAAGGAAGCTATGTAGTTTCTGATGCGCTGGCTGTTTTTTTTAACATACATATACTAAATACATAGCCTGGCAATGTCCAACAAGCGAAACAACAAGAATCTTCTTTAGTGCATTGATGTGGAGAAGTGCAATGAAAGCTGTTGAAAGAAGAAGAAAAAGCCATCACAGCACATTACATCAGCTTTCACACCTCTCTCTGTTTAACATGGATGTAGTCGCACTAATTAGCCTCTTCCTCGCTACATTAGCACGTTAGCTGTCTTGTTAAGCATTAATTGCCCTCGTCGTTAATAGATTTGATAAAGAAGTGTTTTGCTGGCCTTTTAGCAGAAATTGGACAGGAGTACGTTTACACCAGTCCACTGCTAATTTTACCAAATTTAGTTTGTGTCTTTGAAATATGATATTTTAAGTGATTATAACAGTGCAAATGATTGGTCTTTGCAGCGATGCTATAGAAGAACTGTTTTTGGTTCCCTAAAGAACCTTTGGTAACACTTTCTATGAATGTCACATTTGTAAGCATCTATAAACACATTATAACATGTTATAATGCATTCATACAGCATTATAAACATGATTATAAACATTTATAAAAATGAATTACCCTTTATAGCCATGTTTATTACACATTATGAATTGTTAATATAATGCATTATAAGTAGTGTTGATAACATGTTATACTGTCAGCGCCAAAGAAGTCAGTCCCAGCTTGGAGAGCGTAAAGTAAAGACAAATACCAAGCTAACGGTGGTGTAGATTGACTTTTCTACATTGGGTAAAACACTGATGGCAGCACTAGTTTAAACTCTGTCATTTGAAGCCTGTAATGTGCTGTACTTTGTGTGTTGAAGTGTTTCAGTAAATACTTCAGCTTGAAGCCTCACTCTGAACACTGGAGGAGGCTTTAGTACAGTACACTTCACTTTACTTAGAGCGGTCAAATATGACTTATGAGCTCTTATGATTTGTTATGATCAGTACTTATAATGTATTATGTTAACAATTCATAATGCATAATAAGCATGGCTATAACGTGTGATGCATTTTTATAAATATTTATAGCCATGTTTATAATGCCTTATGAATGCATTATAACATGTTCTGAATGTGTTTATAGATGCTTACAAAGGTGACATTCATAGAAAGTGTTACCGAACCTTTCAGTGGACGATTCTTTAACCTTTTAATGTCAGCTCAAAAAGCTGTTTCGTCCACTTTTCTTCTTTAACAACATGATGTCTCAATGCTGTTGCATTTATTTTGATATGTAAGAATGTGATTTCACAAGCCAACATTTCATAGATTTAGATTTGTTTACCTATTTGTGCAAACAAACATATGAATTTGAATGGACACCACACTTGAGTCAACTTTCATTGTCATTCTAATAAAACAAAATAATAAGCTTTCATCGTTCTTCTTTATACAGCGACAGGAAGCATAACAGCACACAGAAAACTCCAATTCCACTTGCTGATCCATTTTACTATGACCAGTGTGGACAAGCACACTCACCAACTACTCAGGGGGGCACATTTAAGTGATTTAAAGGGTACTAAGCCTGAATGTATCACTGAGATGATGTGTGAGGTGTGTCAGTGTAAAGAAAATTTTTAAAGTTTAAAGATTGTCCTAGAAGGTTTCTCCTAAAACCAGATGTTCAAGCCAAGAACCATTTAGGAACCTTCATTTTTAATAGCATACCTTTTGGCTCAAATCTTCAGGGTCATTATGTGTTTCCTTTTAAGTCAAAATGTTATAAAATTTTGTTATAAAAATGTTATAAAATTTTCTGTTTCTCAAAAAACCTAAAGCCAAACAGTTGTGGTGTTTGGCACGTTTGCAGAGAATCTTGTTTTCTTGTGTCATTATCGACTATGTAAAAGCTGTGTCAAGCATGGATCTGAAATGTCATGGTGCTTAAGAGGATCTACAAGCTTCTTATTTTCCTACCGCTTCTTAAAGCTATAGATTGTCTTTGTAAAAGCATAGAAGGCGTCTGAGCCCCCCTCTACATGAGAATGTGTGACACGGATTGACAAGGGCTCAGGCTCAAAGACGGCTGTGTCTCAGCAGGCAGTTGACATAGCCCCAAGTGTCCCTCGCCCCTTTGATGCTGAAGTACTGACACAGGGCTTACGATTCTCTGGGCTGGAGGGACACAATCTGTTACAGTGCAGTACATCCTGACCCTAATACCTCTACATATTTCTATACAGTACTGTGCAAATGTCAGAGACCACCTTTCATTTCTTTAATTTCCAATCGAACTTGCCATTTAGTACATTTTTCTGAGGAGATTACAAAATCCACTTGAATAAGGAAGGAGACAAAAGGAGAACAAACACCTAAACATGCGGTTTCAAAACTGGAGTTAAAAACATGATTAAACGTTACAGAGAAAATGGGGCTCCTAACAACCACCTGTAAGACTTGGTAGACCACCAAAACCTGAGGAAGGAGAAAATCTCTTGCTTCATATCTGAAAGGATCCACAGATCCTTCCACTGTGAGAAGACAACTCAGCGCTATGGCTCTAAAAGGATGTGTAGCTGTCAAGAAGCCTCGCTGAGAAAGGGACATAGACACAAAAGAACATTTACAAATCAAACCAGCAAACAACAGACTGATCAACGAAGAGTGTTGGGTTTATTCACATCACAGTAAGCAGAAAATGCAACTTCTAAGGCTGCAAACTATCCCTGCAGATTTCTTTGAAAAACTGAACGCAGGTCTCCTGATAAGATTGGAATCTGTTATAAAGCTAAAGCGTGGACACACTAATTACTGAAAAAATAATACATATTGTTTGAGGCTTGTTAATTTTCTGTTAATGATATGCTTTGTTTTTCATTAATGGCCATTTGGACTGTAAATTAAATAAATGAAGGGTGGCCTCTGATTGTGCGCAGTACTGTATGCTGCATGTGAAAAATAATTCAGCCCAATCTTTAACCATTTTACATTCTTAATACATCAGTACATTTTGAATATATTGGAAGTTTTGCAGGACATGTATCGCAATATTTTCTCCATATTGCACAGCTCTAATTTACACCACGTTTCGATAGAGGTGTTGTTAATGTGCTACAGTGCATTATGCAGGGTTTGAGAAGGTTGGACATGTGGACAGTTGTTGCATCAGTTTTCCAGCTTTACAGAACATTCCCATCGACAGGTTTGATTTGTGTTCATGGGCTGCTCGCTGCAGTTGACCTGATACACACTCACTTTATTGGCCAAGTATACTTGGTTGTACTAGGAATTTGTCTTGATGGATTTGATGCATACATAAAGGGACAAATAAATAAATTAATATTTCTGTAATTGTTGGTAAAGATGAGTAAAAAAGGTCATGAAAAATGTCTTTATTCACTTGACTTTCATTCTCTATCCTACAGCTGTTTCCTTTCCCTTTTGCTGGTTGCTGCGGTGGTTTGGAAAGTAAAGCAGACATGCTGGGCTTCCAGGAGGAGGGAGGTAAGGACTGATGTCAGTACTTATATTTGTATCAGTCTAACCAGAATGGATTATTTGCTTATTTACTTAAGTGAAACTTCTTGTGTCACTAAAATAATAATTTTAATCTACAGTAATTTTCCTTGATTACAAATGTATTTGCTGTAGAAATACTTGGGTGGCCTGCAGAAACGTCAGTTTTCGCTAACTTCTATTTTGTGGAAAAGCCAAAAATGTAATAAAAAAAAAGACATTTTGCAACATGTTGATTTGTTATTTCTGAAACGCGATTGTTTGTTGAAAGATGAATTTAATATGTATATTTTAATCCTTTTAAAGAAATGAGCTGAAGTGTTAGCCTGTTCACCTGTTGCTGTCATGTTTCTTTCATTTTTGTTTCACCTGAAAAATGGAAGCAATAGAACAAGTTACTATTAAAATGAATACGTGTGAAAGTTCTAGCTAAATGTTTATTACCATTATTCTTATTCTTATTTATTAACTTTTAAAATGATGTATGTATGAGCAATGGAATTCATATGGGACAGTGTCTAAAGGTGATATATATATATATACAGTTAGAAATTGTTTTAAATCTCTTCAGTTGTGCTCGGCTCCATAAAATGATGAAATCCAGTCGAATCTTTAAATATTCTCAGTTTTGGGTTTTCTGAGGTTGCAACACAGACTAGAGGCTTTCATTGAAAGAGAACTGACAGATGTACAGGCAGCATTCGGGAAAGGCAAAAGAACAAGAGACATCATTTGGGATGTTTGCTGGATTATTGAAAAAGAATCAGTAATCCGTTCAAGAAGGTAGTCAGCATGTGTTTCAGTGACTACAGCAAAGCTGTAAGGTTGTTGATCAGTGTAGAGGTTCTTTACTGGAACATCTACACTGATCATTAAGCCACGTTCAGGACAGAAAATGGATAAATAGACTGGTTTCACATTGGAAATGGAGTTAGACAAGGCTACATTTTCAACCTGAGTGCAGAACAGATGATGAGAGAAGCAGGGCTGGAGGATTCAAGATTGGTGGAAGAAACAGCAATAACCTTCAATAGGCGGATGATACAACACTCATAGTGGAAAAACTGGAAGAATCGAAGGCCCTTATAAGGAAGGTTAAAGAACAGAGTGAAAAGGTAGGACTCAATATGAAAAGACTAAGTTGATGACAGCACAAAAGACTGATAACTTTTTCCATTGACAGAGAAGATGTGAAAATAGTGGCTAGATTTGCCTACTCTGATGAATTATTAACGCCAAAGGATCCAGCACTTAAAAAATATGGCACAATGTGGCACTCGGCAGAACTGAGCACGTAAAGATCTTCAGATTCTCTACAAAGAAAGATCAGAATTGCCCAGGCTATGACCTTCTCTGTGGTTCTTTGTGGATGTGAAAGCTGGACAATAAACAGCAAAACAGGAAAAATATAGATGCCTTAGAACTTTGTTGTTGGCAAAGACTTTTGACAAAAGAACAGATGGATCCTTGTTCATACCAAGCCTCACCTCTCACCTGTCTTATTTTGGACATACTCTGAGAAGAACCAATTTATTGGAAATCACGATTGGACCATCATGATTGGACCATCATGTTTGGAAGTGTTGAAGGTAAAAGAGGATGATCAGATACAAGGTGGATGGATGCAGTCAGAGGTATCATGAAGCAGCCATTCAGAAGTCTGAAGACCCAAACAGAAGACAAGGAGACTTTAAAATATCATACGGTTTCTGGTTGAGATATTGTAAGAGTTCATGTCACCGTGTATAGGGTTTCTATCAGCTGCCACACAAACACACACATATTTAGATTCATTAGATTCATTTAGTAGATAGAAGATCATTATACTTTCCTCATGAAGTCATCATGTAACGTTTAACTGGTCCACTGTGCAAACATGAAATGCATGTACAGAAGCAAAGCAAACTAAATGACCCCAGAAAGCATAAGTATATTGAGCTTTAATCTTCCTCCTAAAAAGAAAATGCCACAGTTTCTGGATGTTGTGAAAATGTCAGCAGCCTGCCAAGCAAATGGCCTTCTTTTAACGAGGCGAATGCGACGATAAACACCGCCATTTTCCTTCATTACCCGTCCACACAAACCAATTAATTCTGACAGCGCCCTGTGCAAATGGGACGCTTTGTATCGCTGAAAGCCTTAACAGATGCCCCACTCTTCCCTTTTTCTATCCTTTTGTCATTTAACAGGCTACAACATACTGCCATAAAAACATACATGGAAATGGTGAGCTGGAAAGCGTATTCATGGAGCTTTTTAAAAATACGATACAATAATCGACGCCTTTTTATCTGAGAGCATCAGTGTCTGTGGGAGTTTATGCTCGGGTACTTGTGCTGAAGTTAAAACGTTGCTTTTATGCCACTTTGCTGTCACAGTTGGTGTTTGGATTCTCATCAAATATGTACTTGTAAACCAGGCTCTCAGGGCGTTCCGATAATGGAGTAGTTTAATCTAAACAAAGGAGCCACTGCTGCCTGTCTTATCTTCAGGGTAGCATTTTGATTAGAAAGAAACAATACAATAAGATTTGATATGAATCAGTTCGGCTTACCAGCTGTAGGGGGAGTCGTGCGTTTCGGGGTTTTGATGATTTGAAAGGCTCCCTTTGGACTGCATTACAGTTAGCTGTAGTTAGTTTGATTGGATTTGAAGCAGCTCCAGCAGCCTGTTTGTTTTTGTGGTGTCTTCTGGCTTTCTCAGAATTAAAATTAAACTAATAATTAAACTGATACTTTAAAATAATTCAAAGTGGTAGAGCCTCTCAGATGCCCTCAGAAAATGCCTAGCGAACAGGCATCATTGTGTGGGGTGCAGTGACCTTAACCAAAGTATGTAGGGATGGACAAAATGACAATCCATTATATTTATTCACTGCTTGAGGGAGAAATATTTTTAAACGTGGAAGTAATAAAAAAAAGTCTCCAGTCAGATTACACACTTTGTCGGTTTTCTAAGTGAAAATAAGTTAACACATCCGATACAGAGGATAAACTTAAATATGGAATTTTTCTGCAAATGTTAGTGCACAACTTATATTTATTTGCTGAGTTTAATATATTTGAAAGAAATATAACATAAATCATTAAATGTGCCATACATGGAAATAAATAATTAGAAATAGAGCACTAAAACTTGGAGAAAATGCTTTAGTCTGCTTTCTCTAGAGAACATGTTCATTTATTTTCACTTAGAAAATCAACACAACATGGAATTTAACTGGGGGTGTTCAAACTTTTGCAAATGACTAGAGATGCACCGATACCAATACCTGATCATTTAGTATCGGCCGGTACTGCATACTGATACCTATACTAGCTCTATCGAACCTAACTCACATAAAAGTCCCGTTATACAGTTACATTTTTTAAAAAAATGTATATTACATTTTTAAAAAGTATTTTGATAAAATCTATGTTCTGCATCACAAATAAAGCAGAGTCATGAGACCCCGCTGCTGTGTGATACAGCTGACCGACAGAGGCGCACTGCAGGTCGGGCTAGTGGATGCCGAGGCCAGCTAGAGAGCTGCTATGCTAAAGGCTAAATCAAGGCTAAATGTTATCATTACGCTGAGAGTCCAGCAGTTCCTTCGGCTCTCTCAGTAATGTTAACTCAGGCTGTAAGTGACCGCACAGCGGCAGATGAGTTATTACTGAAAGAAGCAGCTCAGCCACTCAGGGTTAGCGGTTCTATTAGTGTGTTTTTCTCACCAAATACTTACAGATCCTACCATGAGCATTTTTACTGCTGCATGTCAGCCCATACTGATAACGTTGTTAAGTTCTTCTACCGGCACACAGGTATCAGAAAATGCTTTGTGGTTTCTGTCATATATATCGTCATCACCATTATCAATGCAGATACTGCCAGTATTGGCGCTGATACTGGTACAGTATCGATATTGGTGCAACACTACATACGACTGTATTTGATGGCCCGAATGCTAATAAGTTTTTCTCAATTGTGAACTGCTGTTTAAAAAATTGCTTTAAGCACACCTGCATCATGCTTAAGTGGAGAAGATTAATTACTGTTTATTGAGAGAACACTAATGAACAAAAACATGAAAATGATATAGAATTGTGAATTCTGTCAAACCTAAAAGAGGCTAAAAGATATAAAGCGGAGCTACAGTAACATATAAACCCTTACTTTAAGTAAGATGGAATGCCCCTTTAATGAGAATGTTCAGGTTGGAATGAAGGTGTTTTCCACTATGCATGCACCATGCACATTTACACCATCAGTGCATACATGGCAGCAGTGCCTAAACCGCAGGGCCGTCATCGCTAGAAAGGCAATGCGTCTGACCTTTTTTTGCCTTCACTCTAATAATGCAGATCATCTTTGCACTAAAGGCTTGTTAGTTCGTTTGGTTGATGTTGTTTATGATGCGTGTAGTTTATTTGTGTGACATTATTAATTAGGATGTGCACATGCGAGTCATTTCAGGGCGAAGGTGTGTTCACACTAATGACAGATATGGGTCACTTACCCTCACGAATGTGAACCATTAAGTCAAGATCTGATATAAGCAAAAAATCTGAACTGAGAAATGAGGCTTGGAATGTGAACGTAGCCTAAATATCACAACACATATCATGTATCATGAAATTGTCTTCCTATATCCTGATGATATATTTATGCCTGATCGCCCATCCTTGCAGTCTGGCAGACTTCTCTCGTCAAGCGACAGACTTTTTGTGTTTACATGTTAGCTGTCTGAGTACACACTCACTACAGTCAGTAACATGCGTTTTTTTATTTTACCTCCTCACCAACATGGCTACATTATTTATGATGGCACTCTAATTTCACCCTTGCCTTCGGAGCTTGGTGTAGTACAGTGTGCTGGCCGTGTTATAACTGTCTATTTTTCATCCCACACACAGCCACACAGGGGAGGGCTACAGTGTCCAGCAGTGATGATGTCAGATTGTATAGGCTACATCATTCTAACATTGGGCATGCAGCCCTGACTGGTA